GAGAGAGACCAGTGAGAGAGACCAGAGTGAGAGGCCAGAGAGAAGGACCAGAGAGAGACCAGTGAGAAGGGCCACAGAGAGACCACAGTCAGAGACCGGAGAGTCCAGAGAGAGACTGGAGACCAACCAGAGAGAGACCAGTGAGACACCACTGGCACAGTGATTGCCAAATGTGACACGTACGTTTCTTCATCGTAAAATCAATAAAGTTTATAATTTCGTATTATGGAACCAGTGAGTGACTAGTTTGCTTTCTTTACTGTCCAAACAGTAAAGTTTCCTTCCGTTGATGTGAAAAAGTGTGATTGTTTTAGTCTCAGTTAAAGGATGAAGAACTTGCAGAGCTCTCAGTGCAGAGCAGAACTCACTGATGCTTTGATGGATGTTTGTCCTGATGCAGCTGCGACACTGACTCCTCCTGGAACCATCTGAGGATCCATCCATCAGAGCCCACTCCCAGCCGCTCACACACACACACACACACACACACACACGGGTGCGGCTGTATTACAGGAGCCCACATGATGAATGGCTGTGATCCCTGATGAAAGCTGATGGACTTAGAGCCTGATGGACACACACCTCTGAGTCTGATCCAAAGCCGTCGCCACAATCACAGAAACACTAAGAAAACGTTGCTGTTGTGTGTTTGAACAGGTTAAAGACCACTGTGATTGTGTATTTCAACGTTCGCATGTAAATATAAATGATAATGAATTAGTTTTATTTAGCCTTTTTGGACACACAAAGTCTCTTCATATGTCATTATTCATTCATTCCAAACGCAGCAGTGACAAACAACTACTGAAGCCACAGCTGCCCTGGGGCACAATGACAGAAGCGAGGCATTCAGTCTGTGCCAACGGCCCCTCCTAGCATCACCAACCATTCACACACACGCCAGACTCACTCTAAAAAGGGGAAAGTGTCTTGCCTAAGGACACAACCACAGTTTGGCACTTTACAGCCGCCCCACTGTGGCACCTGTTCACAGAGGTCTCCCATCACAGTACTAACCAGGCCCTGCACGGCATAGCTTCAGAGGTCTGATAGGAGCTGTAGACGGGTGACCTCCCTCTCCTCAGTCTCTCCTTCTCTCTCCTCTCTCCCTCTCTCTCTCTCTCTCTCTCTCTCTCTCTCTCTCTCTCTCTCTCTCTCTCTCTCTCTCTTCTTCTCTCCCTCTCGCTCTCTCTCCCTCTCCTTCTCTCTCTCCCTCTCCCTCTCTCTCTCCTGCCTGAGTGTGGATCTTCCCCTCTGAGCTGCATCATTAGAAGCATGATAAATCGCTGTAGTTAAACTGGTCCCCTCCCTCTCCCCCCTCCTTCTCCTTCTCCTCTCTCACCCCTCCCTCTCCTATCCGTCTGAGCCACACATGTTCATCTCTCTCATGCCATCCATCATACGCACTGATGTGCCGATAACAGGGATCCTGCCTCCTCTGCCGCCTAGTGGGCACCGCCAGAACAGCACCCCGGATCGAAATCACTCTACAGCAGCAAGAGACGGTACGACAGGGGAGCGGGGCCAAGTGGGGCTTGTGGAAACGGGGCATTTGTTACAGGAGAGGAAGAAAAGAAGGAAAGAGAAACGCATTCAAATCTGTAGAGACCTATGAATGTCATTTAGACACATTACACATACACATGTACAGTGTGCTAAAAAAAGTCACAAAAGGGATGAAATTAATTGACTTTAGCACAGCTCAAAATCACAACAGCAGAAGTATCAGAGGATGAATGTCTAACAGTGACGGATTTAGAAAGAGAGAGATGACAGATAGACCAAAGGGACCAGAGAGATGAGAGAGAGATGAGGGAAACCAGAGATAGATGAGAGACCAGAGAGAGGAAAGAAAGAGAGACCAGAGAGAGACCCGAGATAGACCAGAGATGGAGACCAGAGATGGAGACCAGAGATGGAGACCAGAGAGAGACACATACACACACACAGATATACAAAGACCCACACACAACAAACCAGTATCCGTGGAAATTCCTTGGTAACCATGGCTTCCAGCAGCACTCTGAAAAAACTCTCCGTTAGAACACTGAGCAGTACCAGCTCAGTTCAGATCCAGAGCCAAGAGTAACTAAAATATTTAATTCAATACAACATATTTTTGTATATATCTCTCCTATGTCTTCCAAAGGAAGGAAGACAGCATATAAAAGCATTGGGTCATTCTTTTTTCCGGGTACACCCCCACCAGCCCCCACCGGCCCCCACTGGTTCATACAAAGGACATGCAATGAGAAAAAACACATAGCGCCATTGATTCATAAGAGTTAGAGACCAATATCTTTAAACGTTAATACATTATACAAAAAACATAGTTTCTGGATCTCCCGCCCTGAGAACATGGAAGAGTGCGACGTTTATCTCCGTTCTGCGGCTGTGGCCCCTGATCCTGTATATGCCACACATGACAGTTACAGTGATCTACCGTCTGCTATAGTTAGACTCTGTGGCGTTTATGGAGTGTTTGGCCTCAGGCTGACCACAGGTATGGGACGTGGGCGGCAAGGACAGGCACATAACCTTTTATTATCGTTTTTAAACATAAAGTGCTAATATCTCTGAACAATTCCACTGCTACCACATGAGGCCGGTCACGATGTATTACATTGACTCCATGTTTATCATATGTTCTCTATTAAAAACATTAAGCTATAGATGTATTACATTATAACCACTGTGTACAAATATAGATTGGAAATGATTTTCTCAGTATTGCAGCATTCCTCCTTTAAAGCTGGTTATCTGAATTTCAAACCACAAAAAAACTAACAATAGCCATAGGGCACGGTCACATAGGTTTTTACAAACGAACCAGGCCAAGTGACAGGGGTGTGAAAACGGCCCGCGGTCACATGTTGTCTGAACCGTGCCAGAGTAGTACAACGTCCGGTCCAGCTGGTGGCGCTAATAATAACTCCAGTGACTACCACGTTGTCCGCGTTGAGTTTCTGCTTTTTTCCTGTTTACATTCTGCTACTGCAGCTAGCAGGCCCAAGCATGCGACGCGTTGTTTGCATCAGAGCAATGTGAACAAGTGTGAGATTTGTGTTTCCCCAAAATGCAGCGGGGGGACACGTGTGTGTTATTTATAACGAGTAACGAGCGTAAAGCGCTGAGAATTAATGAATGAAAGACAGAAAAGTGGCTACGAGCGACCGGAGCGTGTGTGTGTGCGTTCTGGCGATTAAATAAAGACTGATTCTTGAATGTCTGAAGTGTTGTTACATTAGCATCACACAGAGAGCGAGGGTCAGAACAGAAGAGAGCTACACTATACCACTGTCCGGGGCTTATGTGAAAGGTTTAACACAGCGGAGAATACGAAAGTGCAGGGAGAGACTGTGTGAAAATGTGTGTCACAGGAAGACGTAATTTGACGCACAATATCAAGTCCCCACCACACCTCACCCTACACTCCCCACCACCAACGAAACTGACCCCCCTCATCCGTGCTGGGAAGCGGGCCCTGGCCGCAGTTATGAACACATGCTGCGGTCACATTGCACCTAAAGCCCGGATCTAATCACGAAGCGGGTCCTGGCACACTCTAACTGAGCTTTACGCTGCGCATGTGACCGCAGCCTGAGTCAAAGTCGTCCATAGCTTTGGCAATAGTTTTAGTGATATAAGCAGGTAAAAGCCAGATCCTGTCAGACCTCTGCAGCTAAGCAGAGCAGGGCCTGGTTAGTTCTGTGATGGCAGACCTCTGGCAACATGTGGTGCCACAGTGGGGCGGCTGCGGCTGTATAATGCCAAACTGTGGTTGTGTCCTTAAGCAAGACACTTCACCCACATTAGAATCCACAGGAGTCTGGTGTGTGTGTGAATGGTCGGTGGTGATGGGAGGGGCCAATGGCACGGACACAGGTTGCCTCACTTTTGTTAGCGTACCCCAGGGCAGTTGTGGCTACAGTCCTAGTTTATCGCCTCTGTTTTTCATTCGAGTAGAATATAAATGAATAGTGTGTTGGTTTGTTGGACATGTGTTTGACATTCAAACACATTTATGGACATTGGTCTCTGCCCGCTATGAACCGATGGCTTTCTGTGTTTGTAATCATTGTGTTTCTTGTGTTTGAATTGTTTGATTAACTCATCTGTGTTGGCAAAGTCCTCTGCAATAACTGCTGTTGTGATTGAGGGGGATACACAAATGAACTGAAATGAGTTGAGTAAGTTGCTTATATAGATAAATATTGTTTTGGAACATTTTAAAGTACATTTTTGTATGTAAAATTGTTGACTTCTGTGTGTGGAATTGGCCCACTGTATGTGTGTGTGTGTGTGTGTAAGAACCGGGGTGTGTGATGTCACAGCCACCCTCCCTTCTCCCTTTCCCTCTCTCTCTCCCCCTGCCTCCCTCCCTCTCCCTCTCTCTCTCTCTCAGACACACACGGGGCGAGCGCAGAGGCAGCAGTATCCGCGGCAGACACTTGGTGCTTGCTCAGAGCGCGCACGGTGGAAGTAGGAGAAGCATACGCGCGCAAGGACCGGAGATATTATGCCTCAGTCTCGGAAATACAACCCTGCCCGCCCTCGTCCCCCCTTCTGCGCCTCCAGCTGGGACTTTGTGCACGCCGAGAAAGTGCAGGGGCTGAAATGAGTTGCCCCGGCTGAGTATAGAGGCGGCTTTTGTGGCTGCGTTCGTCTATGGGTGGATATTTGACTCACTCACTTGGAGCTGCAAAGAAAAAGGGGAGAGAATGCAGCAGCAGCAGCAGCAGCAGCAGCAGCAGTGGACTTTTCTCTGCCTCTGAAATGTTCAAAATTGCTTTTTTCTCAAGCTTTTCATTTCTTTCTGGATATATCTGTTTTTTGGACTATATGGAGAGAGCCGTAGCCCGGTCGGATCTTGTCCCCCTGTGCGTGCGCTTGTGCCTGGGTGCGTGAGGAACCATGAGAGCCCTTTCCCCCCCCTTTCTCTCCTCCGACACACGGCTGCAAACTTAAATGCGCGTGGGCGAGCTCCCGTGGCCGTAAAGATGCTGCGCGGCGTGCTGTTGCTGAGCGTCCTCACGGTCACCAGCCGCGCCGACAGCCGACAGAAGAGCCCCCCCTCCAAAGACATCTGCAGGGGCCGGTGCGCGTGCGAGGAGCGCGAGAACCTGCTCAACATCAACTGCGAGAACAAGGGATTCACCAGTGTCAATCAGTTCCAGGCGCCGCCGAACAAAGTCTCCCAGCTTTTCCTCAACGGGAACTTCCTCTCGCGGCTCGGTGCCAATGAATTCGTCAGCTATGGCAATGTCAGCTCGCTCCATCTGGGGAATAACGGCTTGCAGGAGATCCGAACGGGTGCCTTTAACGGGCTGCGGTTTCTCAAGCGTCTGCATCTGAACAATAACAACCTGGAGGTGATTAAAGAGGACACATTCGCAGGGCTGGAGAGTCTAGAATATCTGCAAGCGGACTATAATTACATCAGCGCAGTGGAGCCGGGAGCTTTCAGTAAGCTGAACAAGCTCAAAGTGCTCATTCTCAATGACAACTTGCTACTGTCGCTGCCTCCCAACATTTTCCGCTTTGTGCTTCTCACTCACCTGGATCTGAGGGGCAACCGGCTCAAGATGCTGCCCTTCGCAGGGGTTTTGGAGCACATCGGGGGCATCATGGAGATCCAGCTGGAGGAGAACCCCTGGAATTGCACCTGCGACCTCATCCCCCTCAAGTCGTGGCTGGACACTATCTCTGTCTTCGTGGGGGATATCGTGTGCGAGACCCCGTTCCGGTTGCACGGCAAAGACATCACGCAGCTCATCAAGCAGGACCTGTGCCCCCGCAGGAACGCAGGCGAGCGCGCCCACCCCCCTCCCTCCGACTCCAATTTCCAAGGAGTCCTGCCTCCCCCCACGCACCACCCAGCCCTGGTCACTCCCACTCGCGTGCCCAAGGCCTCTCGCCCCCCTAGGATACGCTCTCACCGGCCCACCCCGCGGCTCAAGGACAAGAGTGTGTTTGGCCCCATCATGGTGTACCAGACGCGCTCCCCCGTGCCCATGCTCTGCCCGTCCGTCTGCGTCTGCACCTCCCCCAACCCCGACAGCGGCCTGCACATCAACTGCCAGGAGCGGAAGTTACATAACGTCAGCGAGCTCAACCCCAAACCCTCCTATCCCAAAAAACTGCACCTTACCGGCAATTATCTACAAGTCATTTACAGGACGGACTTGGCAGAGTACAGCTCCCTGGAACTCCTGCATCTGGGGAACAACCGGATTGCTGTGATACAAGAAGGAGCTTTTGAGAATTTGACCAACCTGCGACGTCTTTATCTGAATGGGAATTACATTGAGACTCTTACGCAATCGCTGTTTATCGGGCTTCAGTCCCTGCAGTATCTCTATTTGGAATACAACATCATTAAAGACATTTTTCCGCAGACTTTTAACTCTTTGCACAACTTACAGCTGCTATTTCTCAACAACAACCTGCTCAGATCGCTCCCGGATAACGTTTTTGGCGGGACGATGCTAACACGGCTAAACTTACGTAACAATCACTTTTCCTATTTGCCCGTGAGAGGAGTACTGGACCAGCTTTCTGCATTTATTCAAATTGATTTGCAGGAAAACCCGTGGGACTGCACCTGCGATATCGTAGCGCTAAAAAACTGGATGGAACTGTCCAGCACCAGCGTGGTTGTCAACGAAATCACGTGCGATTCGCCGTCAAAGCACGCGGGCCGGCTGCTTCGCTCGCTGCGCAACGAGGCCATTTGCGCTGAACCTAGTGAGCTCCCCACCGCACAACATGCCACCCCCACAAGAGCACCAACTCTCATTAGCCCCGGGACTGAGCCCACCACCCCAGCCCTGTCCTCTGTCTCCACTTCTGCTCCCACCACCGCATCCTCCCCCACCCCTTTCTCCTCCCTCAGCTCAGAGATCCTCCCCACAGACTCTTCAAAATCTCCAGAGTTGCATCCGGAAGTCCCGCTGTCCGTCCTAATTCTGGGCCTCCTGGTGGTTTTCATTCTTTCCGTTTGCTTCGGCGCCGGGTTGTTCGTTTTCGTGCTCAAGCGTCGCAAAGGGGTCGAGCACGTGCCCAACGGAGCCAACAATTTGGATCTAAACTCGTTCCAGGTTCAATATGGTTCGTACAATCCAGAACCCACGCCGGGGAAGTCGTCGGAAAGCCACGTTTATAACTACATCCCGCCTCCCATGAGCTCCATGTGCCAAAACCCCATATACATGCAGAAGGACGGGGAGCAGGTGGCTTTTTACCGCAATCTGAAAGAGCTAAGTTTCGCGCCCCTGGATGTGAAGAAGGAGGAGGTGGTGACGCGCAGTCCAGGGGCATACACCATCAGCGCGTTGGATTTTATGGATAAATCTCCCAGCATGCGCGCCATGACCATGACCTCCCAGGAGAACGCCGAGGTCTTGTACCAAAACTTAGCCGAGAGACCACACAAGGAGCTGCCCGCAGTTTCAGCCGGACCGCCGCCTTTCACGTACAACTTTTGCACTTTACCCAAGAGGCCGTGCATCGTGCCACCCTACGAGGCGGCCACGGCGCGTCGACCGCCTCCCGCCCACAAGGCCGCGCTGTACGGGACGCCCAGGAAGTACTACGGGGCCGAGCACGTGCCCATCAAGAGCAGTGAGCACCCGCTGCTTCTGCCCGGGAAGCTAAAAAATGAGCCGGACTATCTGGAAGTACTGGAGAAACAGACTGCAATGAGCCAACTGTAAGATAGCCCCCTCTCTCTGCGCACCCCCCAAACCGACGCTCCAATAATAACCCTGCGTTACTGTAATCAGACCTCTATATATCTGTCTTATCTATCTGTGTTCAATGGGCCATGACTCGGGAGCCAATCCACGGCTTTTCGGGACGTTCTTTTTTCCCTTTCCCCGTTTTTCTTTCAGATGTATAAATGGATTATAAGAGTTATATTATTATGCAGTTCTATTTTTCTCCTGGAGGGTATAAATTATTTCTTCATTTTTGAGAAAAAAAAATTAACGGACTGGGATGTATCGGCAGGTATTCTCGTGGGACTGTGTAGAAGCTTTGTGCATTTTCATACAACTGTGGTCTATTTTCCTGCAAACACACAGGGACGAGGAGCTGACACTGACCTGTACCTGTGCTCACAGACTCTGCAGGTAAATGGTGAGTGTTCCATGAAATGTTTCCAAAACGACAAGCGACGAAATCCAGAAAGTGCCTTTGCACTCGACTATTTTATCAACAATGCTCTCTGCAAATGGATATGTTTTCTCTTCTTTTCAAAGTGCTGTATTTTAAGGAAAACTTTATGTAAATTAGAAGACTTATTTGTCCATTTCAAATAGAAAACTATAAAAAATGAACTTGGAGACTGGTGTGGACTCTGTGTGGGGTAATTCCAGGGTGAATATTGTTTTTTCTTTGCTCTGAATTGAAGTGTCTTTGAGATGTGAGTCTAGGATCATTGTATGCTTTAGACGAGCGACACAGCGGCCAAAACAGGCGCCATTAAATTTTCACTGAAGCACTTTGTCCAGGTGTGAGCTCACAGCTTCTTTCTCACTGCGTTTGACTTGTGGATGCGGCAGGGGGCTGGTTGTGCGGCGAGCTTGGCTGAGTGTGTGTCTGTGTATGTGCGATTATGTGTGTGTGTGTGAGTACGTCTCTGCGTGCGTGTGTGTGCTTGTGCATGCCCTTGTATGTGTGTCTTGGAGTGTGTGTTTGAGTTAGTGTGTGCGCGTGTATCTTTTTTGTGTTCATGACTCTCTCTCTCTCTCTCTCTCTCTCTCTCTCTGTATGTTTGATTGTTTTTCAGTTGGTTGTTCACATAAAATGTGAAATGATTTGAGTTAGTTTTGGGCAGAAACATTGAGTTTTCATTGAGCAGTTTCTAAAGTTCAAAATATACAGAAAAACAGAGTAAACGAATCCTGATGAATTACGATCTAAATCTAATGTGCGAGGTCTAATTGAAGGTACACTGTTTTCTAAAAAATATAATTCGACTGGAGATAGACAAATCATTCTGTCTTTTGGTTTGTCCATGGCTTCACATTGTTACAAGTCTGAAACCAAAGCGTTTAGGCAAAAGGGGCGGGGGGATCGGACATATGAGATACTATGAGGACGGAGCTAAAATCTGCTCCAGATCTGTTTCTGATGCGTGAACATTGTTGCAGCAATATTTAAAGCTGAAAAGTAGACAAGTTTTTGTGCTATGGCTTTACAGGACTCTCAGAGTTCTGAAACTCCCAGAGCCGTCGTTTTGACTGCTCCATTCACAACAATAGGATTCTGACAAATTCCTCCTAAATGAAAGTAATTATTGATGTTTTTACTTTCATTCACTTTTTAATACCTGCATTTGGCAAATTGAAAAGGCTAATGCTAACGTCTGACAGTAAACAGTGTGTTGCTATGGTAACCAGCGCTAAAATATTGTCTGGTAGAAAATTAGATAAAGGTATAACTCCTCACATTTCAAAAGTAAAAGATGATTTCATAAAAAGAATAATGACATGGAAATAAAATGCACAAAGAAAAAATAATGTGGACCACAAATGTATATGCGCTGAGTCATTACACTAAAAGCCGTCAAATTGACTGCTGTGGGAGTCCCTGGTGTTAAAGCTGGAACACCTAACTTTGACCTTTAATCCTTGTCTCGACTCCCTCGCTCTGAAACAGTTTGGTTCAGTCACTACTGTTCACACGCAGGGATTTGTGGCCTCTGTCACATCTGTCAATCAACTTTTTCATCATATCTTCTGCATTATTCACAAACAAATGACATTTATTGCAGCAGTGCATGAGAATGTGTTTATGAATTAGATGGATATATATATTTACTCTGTGGTCTCTCTCTGGTCTCTCAGGAAGACTGCATTTGTTCACAAAGTGGTGCTTTTACCTCTTTGCCGTGGCTTTCCTCTGCCATATCCTGTCATCCTCACTTCTATAGAAAGGCCTATTTTAAAGCATCTCAACAAATAATGTGTTTTCGTTAATGTTATCGACGAGGAATTCTTCAAGACCAATTTATTTTTCATGTTATTTCAGCTTCCCTATGTCCTTATAGTTATACTGTGTGATACTACAGGGGAATAGAGGCAGAAACATGCATTGTTTTTAAACTGAATCACGATTGAAGTTTCTGACATCATCTTTATGTCTGTCTCTCGCTGATCTCGCTCTGATCTCTCTCAGATCTTGCTCTGATCTTTCTCTGGTCTCTCTCTCTCACTGGTCTCTCTCTCCTCGTTCTTGTCTCTCTCTCCTCGTTCTTGTCTATCTCTAGTCTCTGATCTCTCTCTCTCAGGGTCTCTCTCTCTGATCTCCAGTGGCGGCTGGTGGAATTTTCTACTGGGGGGGCTATGAATATGATGACTAGATATATACCAGCAGTAAGTAAGTTTACACTGACTGTTGTGACTGAAGCCTCACACGAGAATGAAATATTTATCTTCCCAAACATAGCTAATTTGAGGGCATTTTGCATGTGGATACCAGTCTGCTCATGCTTCTTTGCCTTTTCTAAAAAGTGCTTCAGATCAGTCATACCTGTCTTGATCCATGCTGGGTCAGACCCTGATGTTTGAAACAAGAGGCATGGAAAGCAAAATAAAGCATTAGCCTCGCTACATGCTGCTAGCCAAGATTTGGCGCTGAACCAGGTCCTGGAAAAAGTACGAGCGTACCGTCTCCCTCTGTCGCTGGACTGCTGACTAATGGTAATATTTGGCTGATCAGGTCCAAGCTCTTTAACCTCAACCTTCTCCTGGTATGATCTTCTCTCAAACGGTATTGTTTTGAGTGATCTAACTGAATTTTTTCTCGTTCTCCATTTTGCGTCTCTTTACGTTCGTCTCAAACTTGACCTGTCAATCACTGTAAACGGACGTCACAGACAGTGAGAGTACAGGTCGCGGGCGATCCCGCCCCCTCAGGGCGCACTTCTCCTGCGCCCCCAAATCGTCTTATCTCTTGCATTGAAGAGGAGCTACTGCGCATGTACAACTTTTAACGAGAGTCCATAGACGGCTCAGGGCGCAATCTTTTGCGCCCTGAGGCGGAAATACGTCCTCAGTCCGACACAGACAACGCTGATGAGCTTAATCAATCCAACTCAGCATAAACTATAAAGTATTTCTTCCACATCTGAAATAAAACACACATAAATTTCGAAATATTTTAATGTTATTATTTTTTTTAACGTTTTATTCAAGGTAACATGGCAAGTTGTGAGTGGTGGGGCGGCGCCCTAGCGCCCTCTATTGGCCGGCCGCCACTGCTGATCTCTCTCTCTCAAGTCTCTCTCTTCTCCTTTTTTTCTCTCCCTTGTCTCTGATCTCTCTCTCTCTGATTTATCTCTGGTCGCTCTCTGGTCTCTCTCTGGTCTCTCTCTCTGGTCTCTCTCTGATTTCTCTCTGGTCTCTCTCTGGTCTTTTTCTCTAGTATCACTCATTTCTTTCTCTCTTCTCTCTTTTGGTCTTTCTCTGGTCTCTCTCTAGTCTCTGATCTCTCTCTTTCTAGTATCTAATCTATCTCTGCTCTCTTTATTTGGTCTCTCTCTGGTCTCTCTCAACTCTCTTTCTGGTCCCTCTCTCTGGTCTCTCTCTGGTCTCTCTCTGGTCCCTCTCTTTGGTCTCTCTCTGGTCTCTCTCTGGTCTCTCCCAGGTCTATTTCTGGTCCCTCTCTCTGGTTTCTCTCAGATCTATTTCTGGTCCCTCTGTCTGGTCTCTCTCTGGTCCCTCTCTCTGGAGACTAACGGGTAAAACATGGGTCTGTCGAGTTATTCACCAGTTTTTCAGATTTTGAATATTGAGTATGTTGTAAATTCTTTTATGTTTAATGGGACCAGACTTTGATTTGAAAATTAGGCCCAGTTTTCACAATTTGGTTCACAGTCACTACTTTTCACATGGATGTAGTGTAGTCACATCTTCAGATCAGCAGATAGAGGCTCAAAAGGCTTTTTTACTTGTTTAAGTGTGTAGAAGAAACACACACAGGAAGACTGCATTTGTTCACAAAGTGGTGCTTTTACCTCTTTGCCGTGGCCTTCCTCTGCCATATCCTGTCATCCTCACCTCTATAGAAAGTCCTTTTTCAACCATCTCAACAAATAATGTGTTTTCTTAATGTTATCGACGAGGAATTCTTCAAGACCAATTTATTTGTATGTTATTTCAGCTTCCCTATGTCTTTATCTGTATACTGTCTCTCTCTGGTCTTTCTCTAGTCTCTGGAACCTCTCTGGTCCCTCTCTCTGGTATCTCTCTAGTCTCTGACCTCTCTTTTTCTGGTCTCTCTGTCTGATCACTCTCTGTTCTCTCTCTGGTCTCTCTTTCTAGTCACTTTCTCTGGTCTCACTCTTTGGTCTCTCTCTGGTCTCTTTCTCTAGTCTCTCTATCTGGTCCCTCTGTCAGATCTCTTTCTGGTCTCTCCCTCTGGTCTTTCTCTTTGGTCTATCTCTCTGGTCTCTCTCTGGTCTCTCTCTAGTCTCTGGTCTCTCTCTTGGACCACTGTATTATTTCCAGTGTATTTTAGTCAAGAACAACTCACTTTAAGCTCTTCATGAGGTCCACTATGTTTTCTACATATGACCTGTTTTCTGGGGACACATTTAACAGACGCACATGTCATTTAAAAGGAAAATTTTTCATACGGTCCCTTTGAATAATAGAGATTTATCGATTAACTCGGTGACACGCAACCCCGGCCTCCCTTCAAGATGGACGACAGCGTTAGCTTTAGCCTTCTGTGCTGTGTTAGCGAAAGGCGAGGGTGATGGACAAGGCTTGTTTGCGCGCCGTAATGATTGCCACTGATCTCGACCCGAGTCTCGCAGTTTCCCCCAAACAAAACCCGCCACCCCCCCTCTCCTCCTCCTCACGCCGTCGTATTAATATCTGCACAAATATGAGATTAAGGACCGGCAGAGGCGCGCCGCCGTGGCCTCTCTAATTATACTCACGTCTTTGGGATGGCGGCTGATAGATCGCAGTTGTGAGCCGGAGATTCTCTGACGGAGCTCTGGGAGAAAGAGAGAGAAAGAGGAGGCCACTCACAGACACAAGTATTATTCAATTCAACTCGATGTATTTGTGTACAGCCCTAAATCACAACAGCAGCCGTCGATTTCTCAGACATAGATCAGAGAATCAAACATTTGGGACACAGGAAATACAATTATAACTGACACAAAGAGACGTTGGTCCATAGGCAGTGGGACGGGCACTGTCCTTAGACCCTCCTCTATCTGCAAGAAAGACAGTGGAAAAAAGGGAGGGGGCAAAAAGACAAGATAAGATGAAGTTCATTGATAATTTGAAAAAAACTTTGGTTAAAGTTGAACGCACAATATGCAAAAAGTGATTAAAAAAAGGCAAAATAGTAAAAAATTTCTTAATTTGAGCACATTCTGACTGTGACTTAAAACAAGATTTGCCAACTGGACTAAGCAAAATTATCTTGTTTCCTAAATATATATGAAATGTCTCCCATGGAATTAGAAAATAAAGCAACAGTTCTTGAAATAAGTCTAAATGGCTTTGTCCCGTTGGAGAATCAGGTTTGAACACAGTCAGAATGTACTCAGATAAAGATAAAAACCACTGAAAGGTTTATCGGAAGATTTCCCCAAATCGCCTTCTCCACTCTTTGAACAAAACTCTCTGGTCTTATTTGACGAGCACGTATCACCAGAATGATGGTGATACGGACCAAAAGTCTTGATGATCCACCCGGAAGTAGAAAATCCTCCTACATACCTACAAACAATTGTCATATTCCATGTTTGCGGTCTACTTGTGCTACTAAAATCCCTGTGATTCACTATTTGATGTTTGGACTGAGAGCTGATTGGCTGAGTGAGGGTGGTTCCTGCAGGAGGCCAGTCCCTGTGCTCCTCAGAGCCCCAGCAGAGGGCCAGTCCCTGTGCTCCTCTGAGTCCCAGAAGGAGGCCAGTCCCTGTGCTCCTCTGAGTCCCAGAAGGAGGCCAGTCCCTGTGCTCCTCTGAGTCCCAGAAGGAGGCCAGTCCCTGTGCTCCTCAGAGCCCCAGCAGGAGGCCAGTCCCTGTGCTCCTCTGAGTCCCAGAAGGAGGCCAGTCCCTGTGCTCCTCAGAGCCCCAGCAGGAGGCCAGTCCCTGTGCTCCTCTGAGTCCCAGAAGGAGGCCAGTCCCTGTGCTCCTCAGAGCCCCAGCAGGAGGCCAGTCCCTGTGCTCCTCTGAGTCCCAGAAGGAGGCCAGTCCCTGTGCTCCTCAGAGTCCCAGCAGGAGGCCAGTCCCTGTGCTCCTCAGAGTCCCAGCAGGAGGCCAATCCCTGTGCTCCCCAGAGTTGTTTCATTTGGCACTAACATATCATAGATGGACTTTGGTTCGAGGCCGTGGAGAGACTCGGAGACTGCAGATGGAAATGAGCCGTGTAGCTATAAAACGGAGTAGTCTTGAGCTTAATGTTGCCGTGCACTGTCCCTTTCAAATAAAAACTAAACTAAACTAAACTTGTAACAAACAGAGCTGATTTAACGTCGATTCTCTGAGCCACAGGAAGCCAGTGCCATGTGATCGTACCTGCTGCTTCTAGTCAGGACTCAGGCTAGAAATAATCACATAAGGTAATAGAATCATAAATAATCGCAGTTTTAAAAAAAGTAGAAACCTGTCTCAACATAGGGACCGTTTACTGTTAGCTTAGAAAACATATTAAAATTCCAATCTGACATCATCTCATGCGAACACAGTGTCACAGCTATAAAGGGTCTCGACAATTTTACAGAAAACTCAAAATATCCTCTGATCACCGGCTTTGAAATCAGGGCGACGAGAGCGGCTTTAGACCGTACAAATGTCTTGCTGTCGGCGGTTGATTGCGGGGTATTGGTTTTTACCGCTGAGGACTAAATAAGCTGCTCTGAATTATACATGAGGCAGCAGCAGTCACTCATTTCTCCTTTAAAGGCGGAGACTGCATCCGACGGCCCAGAGGTCATTACTGAGAGAGACCTCCAGTCCAACAGATAGAACATGGAATTGGTCATCAAAAACAAAAAAATTCTCCTTTTTCTCTTTTGGAAGTTAGTCAGATGTGATGGTTTATAATAGTAGTAGAGGGAAACTGAAAAGCTCTGAGCCGTTAACTTCAGTCCAAAGTCAGACGCGGAGTCACTAGTGATTGTTTCGTGTCTTCTCGTCTCCTGTTTTTGTCTAATTTGTGTTGGAAACCAGCTCTTGAGATCGCCCTCTCTGCTCTATCTGGTCTCTCTCTGGTCTCTCTCTGGTCTCTCTCTGGTCTCTCTCTGGTCTCTCTCTGGTCTCTCTCTGCTCTCTAACTGTGTTCTCTCTCAGGTCTCTCTCTGGTCTCTCTCTGGTCTCTATCTGGTCTCTCTCCGGTCTCTCTCTGGTCTCTCTCTGGTCTCTCTCCGGTCTCTCTCTGGTCTCTCTCTGGTCTCTCTCCGGTCTCTCTCTGGTCTCTCTCTGCTCTCTAACTATGTTCTCACTCTGGTCTCTCTGGTTCCTCTCCGGTCTCTCTCTTGTTTCTCTCTCTGTTTCCTTTCTGGTCTCTCTGTTCTCCCTGCTCTATTCAATTCAATTTCAATTCTCTCTCATGCTTTCTCTGCTCCCTCTCTTCTCTCGCTGGTACAGTATCTCTCTCTCTCTCTCTCTCTGTTCTCTGCTCCCTCTCTGCTCTCTCTCTCTACTCTCTCTCTCTCTGCCCTCATTCTGGTCTTTCTCTCATGTATGGTCTAAATATGCTCGCATAAAGGGGTCTAGAAATGGCAACAATATTCAAAAACACATTATTATTGCCAGTAGAAAGGACTTTCAAAAATAAGATAATATAATAATATAGTAGTTTAATGAATCTTATCAAATTATGATCTGGGAAAACAGGCCAAAAACAGAATATATTTTAGAATAAAAAATATTTAAACTAAGGCTGTGATTTCAATTGAGCTTTGACCACACCTGAAATTAATACAGATGTTTGCTTATATCTGTGTTAATACAGATGTTTGCTTATATCTGTGTTAATACAGATGTTAGCTTATATCTGAGGACATACAGGGCTAGGGCCACTACATTTGGCTTTTAAACCTCCAAGACATGACTCTATCACTTTAACAAATCCAAAACATAGATGGTGCCCGTGGAAACACCTGATACAGACTCACTCTGGTCTCTCTCTAGTCTCTCTCTGGTCTCTCTCTGGTCTCTCTCTGGTCACTCTCTGGTCTTTCTCTGGTCTTTCTCTGGTCACTCTCTGGTCTTTCTCTGATCACGCTCTGGCCTCTCTCTGTGTTCTCTCTCTGGTCTCTCTGGTTCCTCTCTGGTCTCTCTCTTGTCTCTCTCTCTGTTTTCTTTCTGGTCTCTCTGTTCTCTCTCTTGTTTCTCTCTCTGTTTTCTTTCTGGTCTCTCTGTTCTCCCTGCTCTATTCAATTCAATTTCAATTCTCTCTCTTCTCTCTCATGCTTTCTCTGCTCCCTCTGTTCTCTCGCAGGCCTCTCTGCTCTCTCTCTCGCAGGCCACTCTGCTCTCTCTCTCTCGCAGGCCTCTCTGCTCTCTCTGGCAGGCCTCTCTGCTCTCTCTCTCTCGCAGGCCTCTCTGCTCTCTCTCTCTCGCAGGCCTCTTTGCTCTCTCTCTCGCAGGCCTCTCTGCTCTCTCTCTCGCAGGCCTCTCTGCTCTCTCTCTCGCAGGCCTCTCTGCTCTCTCTCTCTCGCAGGCCTCTCTGCTCTCTCTCTCGCAGGCCTCTCTGCTCTCTCTCTCGCAGGCCTCTCTGCTCTCTCTCTCGCAGGCCTCTCTACTCTCTCTCTCTCTGCCCTCTCTGTGTTTTATTGAACTAATCCAAACCTGCTTTTACTGTGATTGTCCTTCTGTCTTGTAGTAACTACTTTCGATGTAATGTTTTCCGTCCGTCAACTTTAGAGAGTTTTTGTACCAGACCTAAATGTCAAAGATTAATTGGTTCGTACATGACATGCGCCGCGTGTGTCTCTCAAAATGCTCTTATATAATACGACTGGATGGAACATTTCTGTATTATTTTAACACTCGTGCAATATTTAAGCTGCCAAAACACCGCCCACCCCCGAACCAGAATATGTGGTGTTAAATCGAGTGTTATTGATTCATGTGACGCTGATTTTAGTTGTATTTTTACACAGTCCATGCTTTTCCAACTCGGATTTCTGCAGCTTTCTTACGTCGATGCTGGAAGAAGTGTGTACGTGTCAAAGTAATAGGATTATTTGTTTAATTATAGTGTGTGTCATTGGGCAAGACACTTCACCCACCACAGCTAAGCATTGTAAAGTAGCCAACACTGCCAAGGGTCTAACATTAACAAGAATGCACGTAAGTAAGTAATTTTTATTTATATAGGGTATTTTACAGACCAAGGTCACCCAAAGCGCTTTACAATGTTCAGATATTGTTCCAATCATTCCACACACGGTGATGACGGAAGCCCCCAATCAACACCCATTCACTCACTCATTTACATTCATACCTATTGTGCATGTTTTTAGTGGTAGGGGAAACCGGAGCACCCAGAAGAAACCTACTCAGACACGGGGAGAACATGCAAACTCCACTCAGAAAGGCCCTGTTCCAACCAGGATTCGAACCCAGGACCTTCTTGCTGAGAGGCAAGAGTGCTATCCATTCAGCCACCGTCTTAAAGGAGCCATATGGTGAATCTATTTTTTGAACTTTTTATGATTGTATAACTTAAATACAGACCTGGAGATGTTTTTAGCGCCATAAACGCTAACATGGGTAAGGTAAATAGCGCAAACATGTAGCTCCGCCCCTTCCATCTAAAAGCTTCTGTCTCAGTCCAGTAACAGTATGATGTCATTATACCACTATGACATCACACTTGGAGAAGTTTTATGCCTTTAAAACCAAAGTATTGCACATTGACATTTTAATTTGGTATTTTCTATGTAATCTAATTCAAAGCTATTTACATTTGTCCTCCTCCCTCTAGTGGCAGCATAGGGAGTTACAGGCCGAACATATTTTTTTACCCTTCAATCTTGTTTCACCATTTAATTTCTTCTTCTCAATTTTTACTTAACTTCTACTTACAGAGGAGCTTCTTAGCCCGAGACCTCCTAAATTGACTCACAGGGCTGTAAGCTTAACATGTTTCATAATAGCATTCTACTTCATATTGTGTTTTACTTTTACAACTCTTTCAGTGTGGACAAACATCATCTATCACCAGAGTTTATTCTCTAGTGTTATTGATTCATGTGATGCTGATTTTAGTAGTTTTTTCACACAGTCCATGCTTTTCCAACTCTTTCTGCTTTCTTACATCGACGCTGGAAGAAGTGTGTACGTGTCAAAGTAATCGGAATGTCATAGTGTGTGTTATTGGGCAAGACACTTCACCCTACAGAAAGTTTTTTGTTGTTTATTGTTTCACCATATCATTTCAACTTCGTAATTTCTGCTTGCAGAGGAGCTTCTTTGCCCAAGACGTCCATTATTGACGCACAGGGCTGAATGTATTGATAACATAATAATATAATAATAACATAATAACATTCTAATTCATATTCTATTCTGCTCTAATGTGCAACCATGACATCAACATTTATTTTATTATCTTATAGTGTACCAGTTATGAATTCAAAGTGAGGTTCCCCAGCTTTAACATGGAGGTCCAGGTGCCTGAGGATAGTTCTGTCCAAACTCAGAGTGTCCTGGATCTGCTCAGATTTTTATACACACAGCTCTTTACTGCATTTCACTGCTGTCTCTTTTGCCTTTGAAACCGGGAAAGCAACATTTTACTATTTTAAAATTACCAACAGTTCTGAACCACATGTTTCCAAGCTCTCTCTCTCTAGGGCAGGAGTCCTCAAGGTCATTTCCCTGAGGGCAGGAGCTCTGGGCTGGAGGTCTGGTCTGGAGCTCTGGGCAGGAGCTCTGTGCTGGAGCTCTGGGCTGGAGCTCTAGGCTGAGCTCTGGGCTGGAGGTCTGGGCTGGAGCTCTGGGCTGGAGCACTGGGCCGGAGGTCTGGGCTGGAGCTCTGGGCTGGAGCTCTGGGCTGGAGCTCTGGGCTGGAGCACTGGGCTGGAGGTCTGGGCTGGAGCTCTCGGCTGGAGCACTGGGCTGGAGCTCTGTGCTGGAGCTCTGGGCTGAACGTCTGGGCTGGAGCACTGGGCTGGAGCACTGGGCTGGAGCTCTAGGCTGGAGGTCTGAGCTGAACGTCTGGGCTGGAGCTCTGGGCTGGAGCACTGGGCTGGAGCTCTGGGCTGGAGCACTGTGCTGGAGCTCTGGGCTGGAGGTTTGGGCTGGAGGTCTGTGCTGGAGCTCTGGGCTGGACACTGCTCTCACACAATTAACATTCTCTCTGATGAAGCCATGAATCTGGGATCTGCATATGCAACATTTGAGAGAAAAATTCAATTATAATTCCACACGGCTCACACAGACAGACCACCGCGGAGGCTGGACTGGACCAGACGGGAAGTCCCATGATTAATTCTAATTTGTAAATTCATTTATATAAGAATGGGGTATGGGAGTTTATAAGATTTTTTTCCCTTCATCCTACTCCTGTTCTTCCTTTCATGGAATGTATTACTGTTGTATTTGCTGGATTATTGTTATATACTGTATTGTTGCATCACCATGAAAAAAGGGTACACCGATAAATAAATAAAAACATTTAATCCAGCATTGGATGAGAATGAGACAAGTGGTTCTCAACTGGAGGGACCGAACATCAACATATCGTGCCCAAAAATCATGACAAAAATGAAGAAAAGATGTGTATTTTAAATAATAATGCAACAGTTTTATACAGCACTTTTCAGGACTCTCAAAGATGTCATTATTCTTTCACTCCAGATACAGTGGTGATAAACTACTACTGTAGCCACAGCTGCCCTGGGCACACTGACAGAGGCGAGGCAACCAGTCTGTGCATTTGCCCCCCCACCACCACCAACCATTCACACACACAGTGGCTTAGTTGGTAGAGCCTTTGAGACTGAAGGTTGTGGGTTCGAGCACACCAGAACACTTTCTACACCGACTCCCACTGATGTCTGCTGTGGTTGTGTCCTTAGGCAAGACACTTCACCCACATTCAAATGAGTCTGGTGTGTGTGTGAATGGTTGGTGGTGGTCGGAGGGGCCAATGGCACATACTAATTTCATCGCTTCCGTCAGTGTGCCCCAGGGCAGCTTTGGCTACAGTAGTAATTTACTACCACTGAATGAATAATGACATGGGTCCTGTTGTTGAGTGTCCAAAAAAAGCGCTGTATAAAACCAATGCATTATTATTACTCCAGACTCATTCTAATGTGGATGAAGTGTCTTGCCTAAGGACACAACAACAGTACTAGCTCCACCGCTGGTCTCTTTCGCAGCCTGACACACATTGAGGACAGAGATAGCAGCCTTTTCCCATTTTTAAATCTTCTGACAGAGCGTCGCGTTCCACATTTGTCCCACTTACGTCAGCGATTGTTAAAAGCGTGGTCCAGAACGAGCCGTGAAGGTGACTCCGCAGACGCCACAGTCACCGGTGCCAGTCCTCACCGTTGGCATCAGTCGCTGCTTTGTGATGGCTTTAGCGTCGCTGCCAAGACTCGGTTCTAAGAGGGTTTGGTTTGACATTTCCAGGGCTCAGTCTTTTGATAATAAATGCATTTTTTAAAGCCATGTGGTGTATGAGTGTTGTACAGCTTTGGTTCGGATGAAAATATTATCACAAAATATGAGATGATGACCGATTTACTTTGCTACAAGGAATAATAACATGTCTGAATAATGAAAAACTAGCTTTCTCTTTTTTGATACTTTATTGTCCCTGTTTGGAAATGTGTCCTCTGCATTTGACTGAGGATGTAGATCTATGACTGAGGCTGTAGATCCAGGACTGAGGCTGTAGATCCAGGACTGAGGCTGTAGATCCAAGACTGAGGCTGTAGATTTAGGACTGAGGCTGTAGATCCAGTACTGAGGCTGTAGATCCAGGACCGAGGCTGTAGATCCAAGACTGAGGCTGTAGATCCAGGACTGAGGCTGTAGATCCAGGACTGAGGCTGTAGATCCAAGACTGAGGCTGTAGATCCAGGACCGAGGCTGTAGATCCAGGACCGAGGCTGTAGATCCAAGACTGAGGCTGTAGATCCAGGACCGAGGCTGTAGATCCAGGACCGAGGCTGTAGATCCAAGACTGAGGCTGTAGATCCAGGACCGAGGCTGTAGATCCAGGACCGAGGCTGTAGATCCAAGACTGAGGCTGTAGATCCAGGACCGAGGCTGTAGATCCAAGACTGAGGCTGTAGATCCAGGACTGAGGCTGTAGATCCAGGACCGAGGCTGTAGATCCAGTACTGAGGCTGTAGATCCAGGACCGAGGCTGTAGATCCAAGACTGAGGCTGTAGATCCAGGACTGAGGCTGTAGATCCAGGACTGAGGCTGTAGATCCAAGACTGAGGCTGTAGATCCAGGACCGAGGCTGTAGATCCAGGACCGAGGCTGTAGATCCAGGACTGAGGCTGTAGATCCAGGACCGAGGCTGTAGATCCAAGACTGAGGCTGTAGATCCAGGACCGAGGCTGTAGATCCAAGACTGAGGCTGTAGATCCAGGACTGAGGCTGTAGATCCAGAAATGAGGCTGTGGATCTAGGACTCCGCGCTCGATTTGGTCTCACTATTTTTCTCAATGACACCATAAATTATACACAATACTTTTTTGATTTTTTGCACCTAACCCCCCCCAAGAAACATAACTTTTACAGCCTGAAAAAAACAGAAATGCCAAACCCATGTATTTAACTCTTTCTAGCTTCAAAGTCAAAATGAAAACAAAAGTTGTCATAAAAACAGCAACTAACCCAAAGGTCTTTAAAGTTCCCTAAATGCAGATTGAGTGTTTTTTCGTATCTTTCTGCTCTGTTCTCATGTCGTCTCATGTTTGTTGCCGTTCTCATTTAGAGCAGATTACCGGATCCTCTGGTGAAACACGGTGCGACTGTAATAAAAGTAAAGTAATAAAAGTGGTGACATGTTAAAGCTCGTCTGGGGGGGTCTGTTTTCATAATCGCCGTGTCTCGTGTGACTCCGTCGTAATAACGTGGGCTTTTCAAAACGCCAGGATTTCTCTGGCTCCGTGTGGAAATAAAAATGTAGTGTTTAACTTGAATAGATTTGATTTTAATGATTTTGTTTTAGCTTGATTAGACGAGTTGGGAGTGGTAATTCTTTTCTAAATAAGCAGAGAAATGTAATTAAATGTTGTAGTTTTAGGAAAGACAATGGGAGTTTGTTAGCACGGATCATACACAATGAAACTCAAAGTCCTGCACAAAACAACAGAAAAACAACACAATACATTACATTTTTATAGTTTTTGGCATGTTTTAACCTTGTTCCCTTAAAGCTGAAGTATCTAAAACAGTTTGATTTCATCTATCTTGTATCTTTGACCTCTGTATTTGGATCAGCCTTTTCAGACAGGAAAGTGGGAAAAGGAGGACAATAAATAATAATAGATTTTTTTCATAACGCACCTTACATGAAGCACATCTCAAGGTGCTACAGTAAGTTAAAAACACAATCAAAACATCAGGATGAGAACTGTGCAACATGCGTAAAAAGGCCTGGGATGTGGATGAGCAGTAGGCCTTCCTGACCACACTCACTCGGCCAATCAGAGTCAAAGAGTGACTCACAGGGCTCTTCCTTATAGACGGTAAGTTTCCACCCTAGAAACAGCATCTCCATCCCTCTGCCTCTTCTTCTCTTCAGTGTGTGTGTGTGTGCGTGTGTCTATGTGTGTGTGTGTGTGTGTATGTATGTACATCACACACAAACTAATGAAGATACAAGAAAAAATATGGGTCGACAGTGGCTCAGCTCAACCTAATAGTCATGACTTCAATCCTCCCACTACCCATGCCTCCCATGGAAGTCTGCTGTTGTTGTGTCCCTGGGCAACACACTTAACCCCACTTTTTCTGAAGCCTCCACTGTGGCTTCGTATGCTAGAGCAGCCATCTTCCCGCGGACCTACCATCATCAATGGACTGGTGCTTTGAGGATTGGATGGCATCTCTGACTGCCACCCCCCGACCCAGAAATGGATAAATAAAGGGGAACATAACAAGAAAAAAATAAAATAAAAAACATGCAACTGCTGTGATTGGTTCCACATTTGTAAATACTTTTAAAATGAGAGATGCCTTTTCTGACCCACAATGCTTTGAACCACAGCACCAACTAGCACCTGAGCTATGTGTTAAACCTTTAGAGGAATTTTCTGTCCTGTAAAGTGTGGTGCTTTGTGAGGCACATGTTGATTGGATTGGACGCTGAAAGAGCATTTTCCTCCCCTGTCAGACGCTGATGCCGTTTCACAAAAGCCTTAAATAAACGTCCCATTGAGCGTCTGCCATGGGCTCCAGGGCAGAGTCCGAGCAGAGACTGACAAGCGGCTCATCCACAGAGACAAGGATTCAGCACCATGGAGAGCAACACAAAGACCTTTGCTTTCACACACAAACATGCACACACACACACGCACATACACAGATACACCTAGATATACACACATACATGGAGGTAGAGAGATATACACACAAACATACACACACATAAATGCACACATTCACATAGATACGCATATACATACACACACACACACACACAGATACACACAGATATACACGCATAAATGGAGGTAGAGAGATATACACACACACATAAATGCACACACACACACACATACACAGATACACCTAGATATACACACATAAATGCACACTTACACATAGATACGCACATACATACACACACACAGGCACAGATACACATAGATATGCACACATACTGTACATGGAGGCACAGAGATATACACATAAACACACACATAAATGCACACATACACATAGCACATACATACACACATACGTGGACGCACAGAGATACAGTATATACACACACACACGTGCACACACACAGAGACACATGCACTCACACACACACACACACACACCCACATACACGCACACACGCACACACACACACACACACACACACACACACACGCACACACAGATGCACATGGATATACACACATACATGGAGGTAGAGAGATATACACACAAACACACCACATAAATGCACACATACACATAGATACGCACATGGACGCAAAGAGATATACACACACACACACACATGCACACAAATTCGGGTTGCTCCGACCTCCATGTGACTTTTGTCAAACTGCAAACATGAATCTTTCAGGCTCTATTTCAAAAAACAACAACAATCAAATATTTCTGGCAAGATTTTGAGAACAGCAGGACGCTTCTCAACAGGAAATTCTTCTTTATGAATGTGAAGAGAAAAGTTACCCTCTGCTTTTCACTAAACATCTAACTTATGCCCTGTTTCCCTCTACCCTACTCTCCTCTACCCTACCCTACCCTACTCTACTCTACTCTACTCTACTCTACCCTACCCTACCCTACCCTCCTCTCCTCTCCTCTACCCTGCCCGGCCCGTTCCTGCCCTCCTCTCCTCTCCTCTCCTCTCTCCTACCCTACTCTACTCTACTCTACTCTACTCTACCCAACTCTACTCTACTCTACCCTACCCTACTCTACTCTACCCAACTCTACTCTACTCTACCCTACCCTACTCTACTCTACTCTACTCTACTCTACTCTACCCTACCCTACCCTCCTCTCCTCTCCTCTACCCTGCCCGGCCCTGCCCTGCCCTCCTCTCCTCTCCTCTCCTCTCTCCTACCCTACTCTACTCCACTCTACTCTACTCTACCCAACTCTACTCTACTCTACCCTACCCTACTCTACTCTACTCTACCCTACTCTACTCTACTCTACCCTACCCTACTCTACTCTACCCTACTCTACTCTACCCTACCCTACTCTACTCTACCGTACCCTACCGTACCCTACTCTACTCTACTCTACTCTACCCTACTCTACCCTACTCTACATTACCCTGCTCTACCCTACTCTACTCCACTCCACTCCACTCTACTCTACCCTATTCTACTCAACTCTACTCTCCCCTGATTGTGAGTGTTTCCTCTGGTCCCGTGTAACCAGTCCGAGGTCCTTTTTTAGTCCCTCTTCGTTCTGGTTCTATCCAGGCCGAGCTGGTGCTCAAGTGTTCAAACTGACAGTGATTGGTCAGAGTGCTACTAGAAGCCATGGCTACCGGCAAATTTCCACAAATACTGGTTTGTCTTAGGTTTTGTAGGAAACACAACCATGTAGAGCAGAGTAGAGTAGAGTAGCGTAGAGTAGGATATAGAGTAGAAACATAATACAAACCTCATTCACATGTATTTGGATTCATTCATTAAAAATAATAATATATCATTAAAAAAAGACTGAGGTGCCGTGACATCACAGTCTGAGAGATCGTCATGGAGATCTGGAGAGAAGAGAATGAGACAAACGGTTCTTTTTTTTACCAGAAGTTCTTTCTATGGCAGCAGATTGTGTTAGCAAATAGCAATATAAGATGATGTCATAAAAATCAATGACATAGAAACGATCGATATAGAAAGAGAAAAAGGCACATTGTTATGAAGACCACAGATGGACACAAGTCGAGTAATTACACTTCTTG